AGAAACATGATTGATGCGGAAACAGAGGATGGGACCATCACATACGGGGAATGGAGGAACTACTGTTCTCAACACTTTGCCAGGCTTGGACGAGTCGGGGCTAATCGAGCTGGAGATACTGCTAACGGGATGAGAAATTATCTACGAGAATACTTTTTGTCTCCTATTGGAGAGGAACAGGCACCTTGGCAATATGACCGTGCTTTCAGGGGAGATGTCATTAACCCTCCAAAGTAATCAACAGTGACCAAACGATCTACAACGTTGAGTTTTATGTAAGATGATACGTGAAACTATATTCACACACATTTTATCTCTGGCTTATAATAATTAAAAAGATTTGTATAATATTTAGAACAATTAAATTATATTAATAATGCAATTTTCTCATTTCAGGTCGGTCTGGATTCAGCAAAGTGTCAATGCAAAGGATCATGCATACAATGTTGGCTCAACGTTATCTTCCATGCGTTCCATTAATCTCAGTTACATCACATCAGCATCACATATTAATACGCGTGTAAGGATTAATCATTAAGGATTCCTCATTAAAAGTGCGCATGTCGAGTCTAAGGGTAATATATTAATATATTACCCTTACAATATATTAATAATCAATAATATTAAATAAAGATAATGATAGTAAAAGTAAGAAAAGGGATATAAAGAATATAAAATCTGAGCATTAGTGTTCGGGCGTCGTTTTACGACGGTCGCCCTGAATCTGGATTCCGCTCAGAGTTGAGCGAGAAGCGTGGATACCGCGAGTCGTAAAGTCGCGGGAGGAAGGAGGATGAAAACACTCGGAACACAGATTGCACAAAGAAATATATAGTCTTTATTTCAAGAACGAAAAAGACGCGAGGGGGAACAACGGATCGCCGCGGATTCGGAAATCTTCTGAGTCGTTCGTAATTTTCTGCCAGGTATCGCGAACGGAAATCTTGTCTCAGCTTCTCGCATCGAAGCCTCTCGCGAAGCGGAGATCTTGTACGCGTCGAACGGAAATCTTGAGCGCGCGGCAGAAGAACGATCGCGAGCGGAGCACGACCGGAAGTTTTCGGACCCCTCGCTAAGTAGCACACTTAAATATATAAGGAACTTTGATACGCACTTTAAGACAAAACGAGCGAGTAGCGATTCAAGCAGCGATTTAAGAGGGAGAGAGCCGTGCTGTCTTTAGACGAGGATTGATACGCTACAACTTTTGGCTATTAGTTCTAGCTCATGACTTGAGGCTAGGAATCCTCAGCAACGACTGACTGTCCGGCGATCGAATTCGTCGTTTACTCACGAGGGTTGTTTTTCAGGAACAAACGCGCGATGAGAGCTGAATCGCGATTCGTCCGTATGGTCACATCACGCGTCAAAACAGCTGTTTCCGTGCTCCGACAAATAAGGGAGCACTCTCGTAACGCGTGATCGCGATCGATGGGCTTCGAGGGCGCGGGGATCGCGGGGAACGTATATTTCGCACCAGTTCGACAGAGCTTGAACAACATAAACATCGGTATTTCTCGATGTTAAATATAATAATGTTTTCGAGCCGATGTTTCGCGTAGGAAAGTTCGACGGATCTCGAACAATTAGTATTACCTATACATGTATAATTAAAACATTTTTAATACATTCCTTATCGCTTTCGATGAAGGTCGGAAAGATACATTATTATAAGAATAGTTCATAACCTTAATCTATATTTTTATAAGCATGCCCGCAAAATTAAACTCCAATATTGATAGATTAGTATTAATTTATGAATTAATTTGATGACAATATGAAAATGACAATATAATAATGGAATTACTTTTGTCGATTCTTAACATATTTTTCATTGATAATAGACAATAATTCCATTATGCACTCCAGGTGCCTTTCAACAGGCACACTTGCACTCTTGCGCAACGACCCTCACCCACACCCTCGCCACCTACATTTAGGTCTCTTGCGCAACGACTCTCACCCACACCCTCGCCACCTGTATTCAGGTTATCTGAAGCTTCGGGGTCACCGTGGAGCAGTGAAAACGATTTGTTTCTAAGTACAGAATTTTTTCGTAATAATTGACCTAGATTACACCGATCGTTTGGTACGCGTACCAAACGGTTGGTGTAAACTAAGCCATTATGAAAGAAAATTAAAATTAATTGTTGATCATGTTTGATTTTTTCCGTAAATGAATCTGATACTTCAGATAGTCGGAGCTCACGTATTAAAGAGGAAGCTTTAGTCTCGCCAGGTGCGAGCCAGAGCTCGCCATCTGAAATCGCTGTTCTACAAGCCATACAGGAAGCCGGCTTTAAATAAAAAAGGATTATACCTCCGCCGGATAATTTTGCCGTTAAGAAGAAGAAAGATGACGATTTGCTCAGTCAGGCAATCATAAACCAAACAAAGCAACTGTCCTCAGTGACAGATAAGTTAAGTCATTCCTATGCAGTCATAAATCCTAATTCAATTCTTGGCGCTGTCTCCATTGACAAGGTCATCGTACAAATCGTTTTCACTGCTCCACGGTGACCCCGAAGCTTCAGGTAACCTGAATACAGGTGGCGAGGGTGTGGGTGAGGGTCGTTGCGCAAGAGACCTAAATGTAGGTGGCGAGGGTGAGGATGAGGGTCGTCGCGCAAGAGACCTAAATGCAGGTGGTGAGGAAGAGGGCCGGGTAAACCTTGATGCGGCTCCGCCAGCTTAAAATTTGGTCACAGCTGCAGTCTTCTGAATATTGTAGCTACTTGACGTTCTGGAAAACAGATCAAAACATGATGTGACTCAGTTTTGTCAAAATATTTGTATACTACGCACATGAAACAAAACACATACTTGCGTCCAACGATGTGATCTGCCAAAAACAAACAGTCTTCGTATAACGGCCATGTAGACACGTATGGTGCCTTCGCTCCTCGGCCTGATTTACCCTTTAATGAAGCAGCCACCTGTCGCCTTTCTTTCCCAAAACGTTGGCGAATATTGTAAAAAAGTTTGGAAGCCTTTGGTCCTAAAATCAAACAAATATCAACCTGCTGGCAGAGCAACCTAACTAACCTCTTATGTCACAAAATATAAAATGCTCAGCTACCTGACATGGGCCTTGAGAGACACGATCCTAAGCTCTGCCATGCCAAATCCTTGTCAAATCCTTTCCCACAATATTCCTTGCTTGATTTGGCGTACAAAGCCGGGTTACTTTGTACCAACTGAATCAGCTCGCGCTTATCCAACCACTCCAGATCCTCGTCATCGTCCTCGACATAGTCGACATATTTTTCTAAGTCGGCGACGTTTTCGTCAACTTCTTCATTCGACATGATTATCTGACTGATGAAAATGAGAAAATAGAGACGATAGCACACTGACGATACAGAATAGAGCAACTCGAGCAAAGATTATGCAGACAGACACGATGAACAATGTGACTTGTATTCAGATTTACATGTGTACCTCTGTCTGCTGTCTATATATATATATATACATATATATTTGTTAAAACGTAACTAATTCCAAATAATAATCGGAACAGAGAGAAGTATACACGTGGCGTGGATCTGTCTGCAAGTCACATCGTTCGTTGTGCTGCTTTCGAGAGGCTGTCGTCGTCAAGTTGCTAGAAGTTTGAATCACGTAAATAAGTACGTTGTGAATCGTTCGTCGTGCCTGCATGGTCTTCGCTCGAGTTTATTATACGAAAGTCCTCGTGCTATCACAGTAAGTATATTCATACATATATATATACCTATATATTTGTTAAAACGTAACTAATTCCAAATAATAATCGGAACAGAGAATTTACACGTGGATCTGTCTGCAAGTCAAATCGTTCGTTGTGCTGCTTTCGAGAGGCTGTCGTCGTCAAGTTGCTAGAAGTTTGAATCACGTGAATAAGTACGTTGTGAATCGTTCGTCGTGTCTGCACGGTCTTCGCTCAAGTATATTATACGAAAGTCCTCGTGCTATTACAGTAAGTATATTCATACATATATATATACATATATATTTGTTAAAACGTAACTAATTCTAAATAATAATCGGAACAGAGAATATACACGTGGATCTGTCTGCAAGTCAAATCGTTCGTTGTGCTGCTTTTGAGAGGCTGTCGTCGTCAAGTTGCTACAAGTTTGAATCACGTGAATAAATACGTTGTGAATCGTTCGTCGTGCCTGCATGGTCTTCGCTCGAGTTTATGCGAGTAAGTATATTCATACCTATATATATATATATATATGTATATGTAAAACATATAATTATTGTGTAGCACGTAATGCAATAATTAAATTATTTATTTCAAACAAATAATTTGTAAAATAAGTAATTTATCTGAGATTATTGTTTATTATTAAAAAAATTCGTGATTATTTTCTATTAATTATTAATTTTGAAATAAGTAGTAATTTATTTTTTACAAAATACTTATTATTTTTACAATAAAAAATTTATTTCTTTTTTTTAATAAAAATAAATTTATTTCTTTCACGTAACTAATCATTTTTCTTTTTTTTTTTTAAAGATGAAAGAGAGAAAAGGGAGAGAACCGAGAAGAAGAAAAGAAGCCTCATATGGAGAAGAGCGACAGGAAAGGCAGAAAGAAAAATCAGTGATCCTAACGAATAGGAAGCTCTGGATAGATGGGAAGAAGGTGAAATGGGATGAGGAGAGAGGTACATGGAGGAGGATCTGAAGGCTTTTTACGAGGAAGAGATATTATTGAATATAAATATTATAAATGTTATTGAATTGTTGTAACTACTTTCTACAAATCCATATATTTTATTTTTGCATCGTATTATTGATTTTATTGTTAATAATAAAAATATTATCAATGTATGTATATCCATATAAATATATATATACATATATATATATATAAGCAATTCTTACTATTTTGTATGCACAACAATAAATAAATTAAATAAGAAATAGCTTGATCGAAATATATTGATATTTATTGTAATATAATTACTTATTTCTGAAAATAAATATTATTTCTATGAGAGTCGTAAATATTATTTTTATTTCTCAAGATATTGTTTGTACGTGTGGTGTATGTGTGTGCGTATGTGTGTGTGTGTGATAGATTTCTTTCTATAGACGGCATAAAAAAATCAAATAATATTATGAGCACGAAAAAATATACACGAAGAATTTATTTTGAGAATCAGAAATATTAAAAAAACGCGACAAAGTTTTTTTCCCTCCGGATAAAATTCCAACGTGCGCTTCTAAGTTCAATGCGCATCCTTTGCTAAACAAATGAATTCATACACGTTTTGCTGCCAGATTTTTATTGACGTGATACAGACTGGTGTACATCTGAGCCTCAATAAAGCGCGAGTTTAATCGTAAATCAATTATGCAAAAGATCTTAGATCTTATATTCGTCAATAAAGTTATAAAATCCGCAAACAATGCAAAATTTGCGCATAGTCCCTCGTGATCGAATATTATATAAATGCATCGCGTCGCTTCGCTAATGATCGGATAAACACTTTCTCGAAAACGCAACAAAATATTTGCTCCACGAAATAAGCTCGCACAAATCGCATGTGACAAAACTGAAATTCAGCAATTATATGTAAAATCAAAAGCTATAAATTAGTTTTTTGTTTTGAACAAGAGAAGTTAAGACACGTAGCGATAAAATTGAATGAATTCCCAACACGATAAAGATAAGCTTAATAATTTTCTTCTACGGTTTTCGTTTCCTTTTTAAGAAATAGAGATGTTAAAAAAAAATCAATATAAAGTAATATGTAACAAAAGTTTCTCTTGGTGTAAATTTTCAAAAGGAGGAAAGCAAGTTTGAAAAAATAATATGATGAATCAACATTCTCTGAATACATATTAGAAACCATTCAATTTTTTTCCTACGCGTTGTGGAAAATATGACGGCTCCGTATAATTGTTAATTACCGCGAGACATATGCTAACGAACCGTCGTAAGCAAATTCCTCGAAACGTTCGCTACAAGAGAAAACGAAAACAATTTTGGGACAAGAAC